ATGCCGAGGACCAAGACTAACGCCAAATTCGTACTGCATTGAATAGACTAGTGACTATTATAATGTTATTTGTTTAATTATTGTACGATATAACGAATAAAATATCCAATTATTCTTAATATAATGTTTTACTCTATCGCCCAGAAAATTGTTTTTAGCCCCCAAAATATAAATTGTTACTAATCGCCCTCTCAACATGGAAAAACGCCCACATGGGGGCGATATCGCCCCCGTTGAGAAACACTGATTTAAAATATTATAGAAACAGTTATGGAGAATAACTCACCCAACTGCTTTTATTCAAATATTGCTTCAACATTTCTAAACATATCACTTTCATATATGTTATAAAATAATAAATTCTTCTATTCAGTGCTCTTTGTGTTGATGCCATTATTGAAGCAGCTGATCAAGATTCAGATTGGTTACTTAGCTTTGAAGAATTCAGAACTAGCATGGATCCTTTATTTAAGCCTAAGAAAAAGTGTATGTAAAAGTTGTGTTCTTTATTTTTAATTTAAAATATCTCTATTTTTTATGATAATCACATTATATTGCATAGAATTTATATAAATAATTTATTACAGTATGCTCTTTGGAAGGAAAAAAGTATGAAGATGGTGCTGAAACATCAGTGGATTGTAACAATTGGTTAATATATTTTTGTATTATTTTTAAAAGTAATGAGCAATTATTTCTCATGGCATTGTCACAATGCCAGACTGCATTTTTTAATCATATTTTTAATTTATTTAATTTAAAATATATGCATTCCACCTCAAATTAGTAGTGACTTGCCACTGTACATCATACTTTTCCTTTAACACTAGAGTCATGCCAGTCATCTATCTAACACCTTTCAGGAGAAAAGTTTTGAATTGAAATAACAAGACTTTCAGTTTGCATCAGAAGTATATATATAGTTAATCAGAACCTCCTGCCTGTAAGGTTTTTACATCTGGTCTCATTTTAAAAACTCTGTTCTCAAGAGTAAGGAAAGGCAGACAGACAGAGAGATGGATGATAGTAGGAATTTATAGGTCTACAATTATTTTCAAATTGCAGTCCAATATAAATAAAAGGAAATTTTGTTTGTTTATGGCCCAACTTTATCTGTATGAGGCCCTTTGTAGACAGATTTATATTTGGATTTGTGGTGCCATTGAATTTTGTTCTTTTTCTTGGAAATTTATTTTTCTTTTTTTTTATATGATTTTCTGTGAACTCATTCTGTTGCATTTTATAGAAAAATTTGCAGAAGTCCACAAATTTTTTCAAGTTACTATAAAAATTTATTTTAGAAAACAGCTTCATGATGTCACTGCTTAAGATAAAGCTGCCATCAAAATCACCACCTTAATTTACATTTGGTTATTTCCATTTAGGAAATAGTAAATTAATAAAACAATTTAATTGTTAAGAATACATGATTTAAATAATGACAAGCAACTGGCTAAAACTGACTTTAAGACTTAAAGTCCAGCATTGGTAAAAATGCTGGACTTTAAGTCTTAAAGTCAGTTTTTAATGAATAAGCTTTAGATCTTGTAAAAAGATGCAATTTTATTTCTGTCTTATAAAGTTAACATTTTGGTCATTTTGACACTGAAATAAAAGTAAAAACTTATTAACAAAATGGCATAAAATTCCTTTTATTTTGGGTTATTTTACTTTAGGTAAATTGGACTTATAGAATGGAAAATATTAAAAAAGTATGAAGTTTCTTTTTAATAATCTTGTATAATTCAAAAAGTCAGCAATTAGATATTTGTTTACAAATATTTGGCTATTTTGGTATTTGGTATTTGTGAATAAATAGTAACTGCTTATATTTCTAATAGAGAGTTTTAGGATTTATTTTTCTTTCTTATAGTTGCATCATTAATGATTTATAACTTAATAATAATTTTTAAAATAGATCCAAATTATTTATATTACAGATATTATCATTAAACATTTCAGAAAATTAAATAAATTCTTTGATGTTTTCAATATTATTTTTAAACATTTTAATTAGTCTCTTTACAAAATACAAAATATCAATATATAAGTAATAAATATCAATAACAATTAATAATAATACGTTTTTTTTTAATATGTCAATAAACGTAAAATTCAAAATTATTGAAGATTAAAAATTTTTCATATATTTACTAGTATGTATTGTACAGTACAATATTTATATTTATACTGGATTAATTAAAATTTCATATAATTATAAATGTCATTATCTATCTTCAGTGTTTGTGCTTGTGGAAATTGGGTCTGTACATCGTCAACCTGTTTGGATGATTTTGGAAAAGGTAAGTTTGTTAAGTAATATTTTTTAATACTGCTAATTTTTTTTCTGCTATTTTTATTTTACAAAATAATTTCCATTAATATTTTTGATTTTATTCCTTTATTAGATAATATAATATTACAACAAATTTGTATAGATTTTAAACATAAACATGTGTACAAATAACTTTATGAACATGAATATATATGATTTATATATACATTCATGTCCAAAAAATTAACTTGACCTATATCTCAGGACTTACAGATCAGAACAAATCACTTTATTCTTTATGTAACAAAACAATTAAAAAATCAAAATTTAATCTAAGTTATATCAAATTAAAAACAACAAGAAAAAGTACCAAACATTGTCATAATTGTATTGAACAGAAAATAATTAATATAGTATGTAGTTGTATCTTGAATGCATACAAATTGCACTCTGATTTTTGTACTGGTTTATCAGCTCTATCACAAGCAAAGTATATTCTTGAACAAGAGCATCTTGAAGCTCTTAGAGTGTTTTTCCAGAGACTGTCAGGATGCAACTCATTTCCTAGAGCAGGGGTGGTGAACCTATGGCAAGTGTGCCTAAAGTGGCATATAAGAAGAAATCATCTGGCATGTAACATATCATAAAATTTCAGTTTATCATCTGTCTTTTTCAATCATCTTTTTGGTTTCTCATCTGATCATCCTTTTTTAATCAGTTTTTTAACATTTACTCTAAGTAAAGTTTATTTGTTTAATTTCTTTATGTATCATTATTCAAAGTTTAAAACTTTGGCATACATAAACATTTTTAAAGACAACTAGGCTTACTATATGGCGCACACACACACACGCACTCAAAATGGTTCACTATTTCTGTCTGAGAGCATCCCATATATGTTCTAATGGAATTTAGGCTGAAAATTTCATGCAGTGAATATCTTCACTGTTAAGAAAATCATTGATGAGTGCAGCCATAAGTTCATGGGCTTTATTATCCATGAGAATGAAATCTATGCCCACAGCACCTTGGAAAAGTCTAACATAAGGTTTTGAAACCTTCTCTACCTTCTTGCAGTAATGACACACAAAAACATGAAGTTCAGTACAGCCATTAAGTATAATGCTGCCTCAGACCATGATGACCTACAAAAAGGGGGCCAGATTGCAACTGGTTTCTTTCCATGGAGTTTGTGGGACTGTATTAGTTTCTCCATTCTCTTCCGATTCTAATCTGATGAGAATCATTCTATAGACCCACCATTGGCAAATGCAGCTCTTTTTGAGTTACATGCGGCTCTTGCTGAAAATGTTAATTTCTGCTTTTTATTATTTTTTTTACAATTTTATTTCCACAATTTTGTGAAAATATGTTTATTTAGAAAATTCAATATTTGTTTTATATTATATTTATATTATATAACTAGCTGCAAGGACCTGCTTCGCTGGGTTTTTATTTTTATGTAATATAGTTTTTTTTTATATATATAAAAGACTGTTTTTCTAAGTAATCTAGAATCTAGCTGCAAGGACCCGCTTCGCTGGGCAAAAAGTAACGATAGTGAAGATTAAGATAATTACATTATAGCTAATCTTACCCGTTTTCACAAAATGCAAGAATTAGGTCCCCCGTTTTCAGACTAATTACAGAATTTTTACATTTAGTCAAACGAACTATTTTCAACGTTTCTAGAACGTTTTCAGTTGTTCTATAATCAAACCAATTCGAATTTTATGTTTGAATTTAATTCGAACAAATTCGAAAAAATCGAACAAAACATTCAAAATTGAAAGCCACTTTCAACCACTTTCAGCCTCATATCTCCCGCACTCTTATAGCTATTGAGACGCAACCACCCCTATGCACGAATGGAGACTTGGGGCTACCACCACATACAAACACCATTCACGTGCGATGTGTAGTTTTGGCGAAAAAGTGAGATATAAGGACATACATGTCCATTTATATATATATAGATATAGATAAAATCACGGTACAGAACTGTGGTACAGAATAAAATAGTACAAAACTGCGGCTCCCATGCAATTTGCAAATCCTACATTTCGGCTTCCACTGAACTCTTGCTTGCCCACTCCTGCTATAGACTATATCTGGACTCAAAAGGGAACAGAACATTCTTTGAAATTTGGCCAAAGCCCCAACATAACACTCTCTGACATATTCATAGTCCTAGACACATCTGTCTGTGATTGGTCTGCTTCTATCCTTCCAATAATTCTTCACTGTCAATATTATATAGTAAAACAGTAACAAACTGTCCTCAATGCCATCTACTATTGCATTCATGGCATATGCATTTTTTGTAAAAACTTGTACTTTTTAATGGAACATTTGACTATCTCCTGGATGTTTTTATTCTTTGGAAACTTCTACATAAATTTTCAGCTGTTCATTTTGCTCTACTATGGATTAGATGATTATGCTTACTTTTTGGACATGAGTGTATTTAATAAAGATCTTGAAGTAAATATTGAATGAAAGTTCAGATAGTGTAACTAGTAATTCATCTGCATAGTAAGCAGTATAGGTTTGAGTACTATTCTGAGTTACTGTATTATTTCAGAAATTTTCTAAATTATTTAATCAGAATTGAAAATTAATTTTTAATTACTAATTTTAGTAGATGGTGCTTTTGGACTTAGGGCATCTTGAAATGTTGAGAAACACAAAAAAATTTGGGGGTTTTTCTTTATGTATGGATGTTAGTGTGTGTATGTGGGACACAATTTTGTTTGCTCTCTTTGAAGCTTAATAACTCCTGTGCTTTTTGTCGAAAATTTCTGAATTTTGCAGGGAGTTGTGTATTAGGGGAATTGTACTGTTAAATTTTGGTGATTAAAAGTCAAGGAGTGGGGAGATAAAGGGGATGTGTGTATCTCCAGTAGGATCAGACTTAATGACAATTTTATTTGTTATTAGTGTGAGACCCTGGAAATAGCCCCCGCAAAAGGGAAAGATATAAGAAGAAAAAAAAAGTTTGTTAAGTTAAATCGTCAAGAAAGCAAATTATATAAGTATCAAATCAGTGATACCGGACTTTGATGTCAGCGCTCATAAAGAATAACGGGAAAAACAAAATTTTAGATATAAAAGAAGAAAATTTAAAATATTAAAGTTAAGACGCAGTTTAGAAAGCAAAACGAAACTAGAAAAAAAAAAATATCAAAAAGCATAGGTGTCATAATCAACAATTAAACGCGATCAGATTCGAAAAGATGGTGTCGGATAAACCATCTCCAGCCGACCTTTCTCGCGAGCTTTACGAAGCTCTATTTACACCTGGAGACAGGTGGATGACCAATTGGAAAACAGTGATGTAAGATCTATCCAATTAGTAAGAAGCCGATCGCAAAAACCCTATAAAAACGCAAAATTCAAGGACAACAGGACTTCCACTAAGACTTTTCCACCTAGACTACCTGTTGTGTTCGTTTGTTGACAGCTGTCGTGTTTCCTTTCATCTTTTGTGTGCTGTCACTTCAGATCTCGAACTTCTCACTCGACGCAGTCACGGGGCCCCTCTAGCGTAGGACCAGATTGACATCGAAAACAACTTACGAAGACAACCCAAAGTTCTGAACTTAAGGACCCTTGCCAAAAAAATTATGTAAGCATTATCGTCCGGAATAAACGATTTACCTTTGTAAAACACTTGTCTTTGCTGCCTTTAAAAAACCGCCACCCACATACGCGTAGACCTTAGACCATCCCGACAATAGGGGGAAAAATCTCCCTTGCAATCGGCGTTCATACATTAGCATTTACAATTTTTTTTATAAAACCCAGGGCAAAATATCATAATTTTGCCATTTTATAATAGTTAAGAATATAAAAAGTTTTTTAATAAAATATGATAACAGATGGCACCACCAAAATTTTAAATGTTGCTGGGAAAGTTGTGCAACTTGTTGTTTGTTTATTTTTTGAACTACCTGTAGTGACACAATTTTTGTTGGCACAAAAGTGAGCCATCATCAGATCAAAGATGGTTTTATATTCATAAAGTGACATTAACAAAAAGTGGCATTAAAGATATGCATCTTTTGATATAAAAGTATGTAAATAATAATAATAAGTAATTAATAAAAAGTAGATGAATGGTGTGTAAGTTCATAAAATAATTAAAATAATTAGTATTGTTTTAATTATTTTATGAACTTACACACCATCTGAGAATCACTGATTGGTAAATTTGAAAAGTTTCTCACTTATGGTTAAAATAAAAATTTTTATTTATTATATCAACTCTTTTTTATTTTATATGATAGAAAATAGTTTATTTTATTAATAATTTTCTATTATTTTTTGTTTTTAGTTATTATGTTTAAATCAGTGTTCGACAAAATTTTTAATAATAGCTTTCCTTTTTAGATGGAAATTTGGTATGGCTTATTTTATTTTGATATAATATTTTATTATTTTTGAAATTTTTTTTCTCATGACCCAAAAAATTTTTCATATAATTTCTCTGGAGATCACATCCATATTACATTTTCATGGTTTAAATGGTAATTTATATTAAAAATTATTTCCTTTTCTACTTTGTAAGACTAAATATATAAGGATATTTCTTAAATAAACAGTTTTGCTATAATAAATCTCATCAATAATGAATTTTTATTTTAATATATAATTCATTTATTTTCAGAAAATAGAGTCAAAGATCCTAAATTATCTCGAACAATTTCTATCAAGAAACAAATCTAAGAAATCTTGAAATACATATCAAGTTACAGTTTATTCCTAATGACTTATTTGTTAACTATCTACATTCTTTGTATGTACGAATTAAGATTCTGAATATTGTAGTTGGGGTTTAAACAAATGCAAATGAAATTTTTTAATTGTATTTACAAGTATTTGGTCGTGACAGTTCTGCATGTTAATGCATGGCTGTAGTGATATGGTGTATATTTACATCTTTCTATGGTGCTAGTGAAATTTACATTTCATATATGGTTTTATTGTTAATATATTTCAAGTATACGAATCTGTTTTCATACAAAAACATCGTTAGTTACATATTATTAAGATGTATTTTATACAATTAGATATGACTTAATATTTGTGCCAAATACAATATAAAAAATTTTTTATGATTAACATAATTTTTCTATTCATTGCTTTGTAGTAATTTTATATGTGGGATCAATTGATAAAAATAACGAATATATGTTTTTATATTTTATAATTATTACTGAATTTTGTCAGTATTCAGGGCAGCTTGTTTATTACTTATATATTTTGATATATTAATGTTTATATACAATATATTTTGTATGATATTTCAATGAGTTTTGAATGGCGTAAATACAACATCCATTTTTAATTAAATTAATAATAAAAGTTTTACTTTATTATATTTAAATTTTGATGTTATGATGGGCAATACGAATAAAAGTGTTACAATTTATTGCTCAGTAAATTTAATTTTATTTAAAAGAATACTTGTAACAATGAAAGATTTTGAATTTGTTATTGTTCTCAGAATTATGTTAATTTCAAAAAAAAAATATTGTTGAGAAATCTAGAATATATTATTAATAGATGTGATCAGCAGAAAATTTGAATATTGTTTCTTTGATCATTTTACTTTATTTTAAATATAAAATCATTTTAGAGTTTTATACCTACATATTATTAACCTCAGTTTACACCTATACTGTAATGACCATTATTATTAAATATATTAGTTTTTTTCTAATTCTGTCCTATGGCACTAAGGGAATAATTTTTTGTGTGTGTCCATCATGGTTGTCAGCCTATTATAGTTTCAGCCAGGCCAATAATGTGAAGTTGGGGGTTTTTTTTAAGACCCTTTACTGCTCAGAGAGCACAAAAAGGTCATTGGGCAATAATGGGAAGTTGGATTATGTAGTCCAACATATCCAGATGGTCATCCTTCCAAAAAATTTTTGGGATTTTTCAATTCGTCTATATTCTATCCTTAGTGATAGGCTGCCACCTTAGCTACTCTGCCATCCATCTGTCTTTAATAATATGTTGCTATTATCTTTTTTCCTTTTTATTAAATAACTTTTTACTAGAAGATAGGATACTACATATAGGCCTACATACAATTTTTAATTATAAAATAAAAATGTTTATGCTAATTAAAATGTTCTTGGGTAAACTAATATTTACAGTTTATTAGAATGTTATCTTAGCCAACTGTTTTACTGAATATGGCCCTAATGAATGAAAACTTAGAGAATTATGACATTTCAATAGTGAAGAAAGATGCTAGAAGGGAAAATTAAAGATGGAAATGCAGGATGGTTTTTTTTTCCACGACAGTTTAGGTCTATCAGTACTTTGGCCCCTTCCTGCTCATAGAGCACTAAGGAGCCAGGAAGTTTAGAGTGAAAAGTATAAATGTCCCATAAGGGCTCATAATGTATTCAACTAGTCCCTTATCAGGTCTCATAACTTTATACGTGTTTTTTGGAGTCTGTTTTTGTTTAATGTTAAGGGCCGGAAAGCTGGTTATGTATGTATGTTGTAAGTTAATATTAGTACAGTAGAACCTCGATTATCCGCCCCCGATCAACCGACCCCTCGGTTAACCGACCGTCCTAGTCGGCAAATTTCAAATGTCCGCTAGTGATGTGGCGCTACAATATTTGGCTATGTCTTGGCTACTTTAATATTATTTTTACGTGTTTTAGCTGGCAACACTCATTCGACCATGAAAGGGAGCCAGTATTTAAACGAAGCTTAATTTTCTAATTTTTAACGATACAATAGCGACGATTATTATTTTAAAAAATTTTTGTTAGGCTTAACATCGATGAAAATTCAACGCAAAATAGGTTAATAGCGATATACTAATATACTAATTACATGGGATATAATAATATACTACACTAATAATGGATTTTTTCATACTTTTCGGTTATCCGACTTTTCAATTATCTGACCAACCCCAGTCCCCAATTAGGGCGGATAATCGAGGTTCTACTGTAGTTTAGTTATAACCAGTGCTAGATATGTAGCAGAGGTTTTGTATAGGAACCATCCTGCTAAGGCAAAAATATTAAGTAACGAGCATGATTGTAAAATGCCTAAAATCTGGTGATGAGTTTGTATCTATTAAAATTAAAATTAACAAATATGATGGTTTAGTATTTTATGTTAAATAACACACAGTATGTGTTGGATTTGAAATTAATATAAAAATGGAATTAACATAATATTGATATAATGGCCAAAGCTGGATGGTATATAAGAAAGAAGTCTAGGGTGATAACCAAAGAGAGATAGGATAGATTTAGGGTTTTAGTGACCAACATAACCTAACCTAGCTTTTCTGGCTTGTCCAGAGCCACTGTGGAAAAGAAAGCAGCAGTGGTAAAGCCACAGATGGTCAGGTCCAACAAGTTTAGAATAAATGTTAAAATTTTGAAGTGGGATACTGGCTTGGTGAACAAGTCAGCAAGTCAGTTGGATGTTACTGGGAGGACTTTAAGGGGGAGCTTGACCCCATTAGGGAGATAATATGTGAAGGAAACCCAGTAAAACTTCGCATGTCAAGCTAGGCCAAAACAAAGGCTAGCCAAAGATAAATACCAAAGTGGAGAGAGGTAGTTATGGGAGAACCAAATATAGTAAGTGTTGGACAAGACCACCATGGAGAGCGAAGTTTAGAATGGTTTTTATACAAGAGAGTAGAAAGTGGCTGTAGCATTATTGAGGAAGATTGAAATCAAGACAGTGTAGCAAGAATTACCTGACAGAGGAACGACAAAGGGTCCTACAGGGCCAGGTAGAGAGGAAGAATAACAAATACAAAGGATAGACAAAGCAGCAGGGATAGGTGCAGCAGCCCACTAATGCCACGCCAAAGAGACGCCCACGGGTGGTGAAAGGCCACGGGAGGCAAGATGGAAGCCCGTTGCCGACAATACAGGATGGTTGTAGCAAGACCATACTGAACAGTTGTTTCCTGAAGCATTTGCCCTCCTCCTCACCCCTTAGTTAGGTTGCTGGGTTGTGGTTGTAGTAGTTGAAGAATATTTATAATAAAACGTTTTTATTATAATCAAAATTCAGAAAGCAAAGTGTATGTGATTTAAGCAAGAAACATATAATTATACTGCAGTATATTCAAAAGCATTAAAGATCTTCCACATAGTTTCTAAGATAGTAGTATTCTAAAAATATATGAAATTTTGATATTGGCAATAATTTAATGATTTCATAAAAGCTCCAGAACAGTACAGTATATTAAAAAACCTAAAATACAGTTATCCCTCTATAGTCCGACGTTTTTTAATCCGACATGCTCAGTAGTCCGACGCACCTCCCGTCAAGGTACCCGTGTGTCTGCGTGCACATAAGCATGTCGCGATGTGAATCTCCCCATCCAATTCTTACTCGATGACACACATTTCGTGTGTTTTATGTGAGCAGTTCTGTTCGAACAGTTGGAGTAGAGAATATTGTAAGTTACTGCTAGCAAAACAATACGAAATATGTAATTATTTTCGGTAATCCGGACACTTTTGGTAATCTGACACACCTTCGGTCCCATACCTGTCGGATTATCAAGGGACAACTGTACTCCCAAAACTTAAAAATACCAACAGCTGGATGGCTGAGGCAATTAAGATGAAATCCCACTGATCTGGAGATACCAGAATCCAATCCAGGTGAGCAATCCCAGGAATTTTTCTTGGGTAGTCTGTTCTGGATACATTGAACTGCATCCCTCTACCACCACGCAATCTACGTTATGTAGATGGCAGAAGTCAAGGTGGCAGCCTAACATTCTGGGTGACCCGGGATCAAATTCAAGCAGATCCGCAAAAAAGTCCCAAGAATTTTTTGAGTGTTGGTTCGTCTGGATATGTCACACCCTGTTCTTCATCACCAGGCCTCCCCATTGAGTGCCTGACCAAACCAATAATGGACTTGCTAAAAGAGACCCTTTTAGTGCCCACAGGGCAGAAAGAGTTTAATGAAAAAAACTCTTTACATTGTAGGGCTAGTCGAACCCACAATGGTTATGGACAAAAGGCCTTAGTGCTAACAGGGAAGAAAGAGTAAAAAAATATCTAAATTGATGTATAAAACATTAAAATCTTATAATATAATCGAGATGGGTTGGTGATAAGCGCAAAGCCCAAACGGTTGAAATTTGGTACACAATTAAGGTACATCATGAGAATGTACACTAAAAATGGATTTTTGGAAATTCCCCTGCGGTGGAGAGGGAGGGGGTTAAGAACTCTACTGTACCCTGATATTATCCTGAAGAACTCTGCTTCTACTGTACTATTTTAGATGCGGTTTTTTTTTTTTGAGGGAAATCGAACATATTTTTACACCTATCTAAAAATTCTCTAATTAGCGTCGGAAGAGTGGGAACCTAATTCTTGCACTCAGTGAAAACGGGTAAGATCGGCTATGTGAGATAATCTTTGTAGTTATGTAAACCAAATTCCATAACAATACAATAGAAGGGATAAAAGTGCGAAATTAGTTAATCTTAATGTTTGTGGGCTGCCGTCTTAATTTTTTGCTCGTGCAACGCCGATTATGGAGATTTCCGTAGCAAAAATTAGCGATTTTAGAACGTTTTCTATCTGGCTACATTGCGATGTCATATTAAATCTCAAGCCCAAAGCTAGAATTCAGTCTTGCTTCTATCCAAAAAAAATTTACGGACTTGCAGCAGAGGTGTCAACTTACGGGTCTTCCCAGTACAATTGCAGATGGAAATGACGCTGCTGGGACTATATACAGGTTTAACTATAAATTTTTTGACTACGTTTTCTTATCCTTAACGAAAATTCCCAAAAGTATTCAAAAATGAACACAAATTGTAAGCAATAACAAACAGTCTAATCAAGTTAAAGTCTACAATCGTGAAAGTGGCAGTTAATAGAAATATAAATATTAACATTTACGAATAAATAACGTTCAAAATCGAATTAAAATAGCACTTATAAGCATAAATATACACTTATAAGCAGTCTTTTAAAAAAAGACAAAAGCAATATCTGAGTTAAAAACGAGAAAATTTCATATATTAAAAGAATAGCGAATGTTTCCAGCTGATCTCCCTATGTTCAAGCCAAACTTACGCCGAGAAGCGATTCCAGCGTTCGAAGTAAAATATTTATTACGCCACTATAGTAGTATTAGAGCTATTGGCAGCTCAAGGACCAGTATCTTTATCCGCTCTGGTAATACAGCGAAGAAGGTAGTAGCGGTAGTAGCTCGAACTAACGATTAATTTTTTGGATGGACGTAAAAATATAAAGTATCTGGAAAAATTCATATACCATTTACAGCAAAATTTAGATAAAATCATAGGAGGACTTTAATATTTTACTGAACGCCGATGACATTGGTCCTGTAAAACCGCAGATAAATAAATAGAGAAAAGTAATATTTTCTCTATTTATCTGCGTGTCTATATTTGTTCATTTTAAATAACTAAATAATGTAATCGGCAGTGTTAATAACGAATTGGATTATTAT